TCTCTCTCTCTCTCTCTCTCTCTCTCTCTCTCTCTCTCTCTCTCTCTCTCACACACACACACACACACACACACACACACACGCACACACACACAGTTTCTTTCCGTACTTGCTGCATGCGTACGGTCACACACGTGCTCATCTCCCGAATCCAGGTCGGGAATTGTTAGCCACACTGACAATTGTTTGCCGGTGTCTCTTGTCTGCGTGTCCTCAAGGCGGAGCACAGTGTTCCACAACATAACATGACAAGAGCTAGCGGAGAGGACGAAGAGGGGGAGGAGGAAAATCGCAGTGGAGGAAAATCGCAGTTGTAGTCGTGGTAGTATGAGGAGTGGATGTGAGAGTAGGTGGGCGCTTCCAACCTTTTTGGCGGTTAGCCCGCTCCATTCAGAGCAAGAGCTAACTGCAATGCGAAGGTGTTGACAACCCATTGAGCCGCTCCGCTCTTCGCTGCATTACGCGGGCTTCGCTCCCTGTCCTGTTGAAAAACTAAAAGTGGCGGCAAAACTGGACGTTGGTACGCTACTCCCTACCGAGCTTGGGTCACCCCCCTCCGCTCCTTGCTTGGCTGTGCCCCATTCCAACCTTGTTGCCTCGTGCCTCGTCGTCGAGTTAGATAGTTACTGCCAAGCAACCGGCATACACGAGGCACGAAAATGGTTACGCAATGGGCCTCACTGCACTACTCTCCACATGCACAAAAAACAAAAGAGATGCAATGTATCTTTTCTTGTTCTAGCGGTAGATTCAGTCTCATTTTGCACATTTGGAGAGTAGTGCAGCGGGGCCCAGTGAGCAGGCGCGAAAACGGGGTACCTTGTAGGCGGGCGTGAAAAAGGGTGCGTGCGGCCCAGCCTTCTGCTGAGGAGTCGTTGACAGCTCGACCTGTCCATTTTTCCCCGCAGGGCTCGAAAACCAGGTACGAATGAACTAGTATATAACTGGGCGGGAAATGTGTTCCGCCAGATCAACCCTTCGAAACAGAAGGGACCATCTTGCTAGGCGGGAAAGGTGTTCTGCTGGATCAACTATTCGGGAAAAGAAAAGAAATTCAAAACAGAAATGGAGGACTACAAAAAACGGAAATGCCCCAACCTCATTTAGCTGAAGAATGATTTTCCAACGGTGTTCAAAAAGTGGCAGGAAATTTAAGTAAAACTGAAAGATTCATGGTAGCAGGAAAATTTTGAAGTTGAACTGAAACTTAAACTTTCAATCACAATTTCAGTTTATAAATTTTCTGTTGGATAGTGTCGTCCCTCGCGCGAGGACTAAACAAAAATCAAGGCTATCTGGCAGACGCCAAGAAAATGCTGACTTTCGATGGAGCAAACATCACGGAGTTCCTGATCGACTACGAGAACCTAGTTGCGTTACTAAAGTGGACCGAGGAGGAAAAGATGGACCATCTAGGACAGCATGTGTCGTTAAGCCTAGGACGGGACATAATGGCCATTGTAGCCGCAAGCCGGTCTTGGAAGAAGACCCAGGATGTGGTGATGAGGAAGTACCTAGCGRCARAGAAAATGGCAACGGAGRYCGACCTAGCGGCAGTTCAGAKRAAGAAYTTCGCAACGTACAATGATTTCCTACGGGAATTTACTCTGGTARCACTAWGGATCCCCGGGGTSACGGACCGGATAATGAGCAAATATTTCCTCAGGCAGTTCTCCGAGTTCGACAAAGACAAGCTCCTGTCAGCCTACCAACAGACGAGCAAGTTCGTAAACACGCGGGATGTTGATTTTAGCACGGTAACGGATCTGGCTGAGAAAACGGTAGTAACGGAGACGTTGGCCTTGCTCAAGGAAGGAGAGATCATAGATCTGACCGGTAGGACGGGCGACAAGGTAAAGAAGGGGATTGAAAGTCTACATGAACGGGTGCACGGGATCGACAATAAGATTGAAAGGATGGAAGGCGCGCTACTGGTTATGCAGACGCAAGTATCCCGACTTGCCCTCCCTCCCYASGAAGCTRTGGTCCCGCCAGGTGTAGCAAATCGRGGATTCGGACGGAGAGATCCTGCTAACGAGCAATGCAAGTACTGCACCGCGATAGGACATTATGTGCGCGCATGCCCAAAGCTCAACCATGATATTATGAAAAGAAGGTGTACCAGGTCATTAAAGGGGGAGATATTTGGACCACAAGGGGAACRGGTGAACTGGAACYCACCAGGAGGGATGCGGCRAGCCATTATCATGCTCAACGGTCTAGAAATAACAGYCGTAGAAGCCGAACCGGTGGGCGAGATCATCTRGGATCAGCTCCGRGGGCGCGGGCCGCATGCCAACTTTATTTTGGAAAGCGACGGACGTGATAGGGTGAACGCAACCACTCGACTGGGAACGGCCGAGAGAAGGATTAACCRTGACACCGTTATGGAGGAGGTCGCCGGAAGCTCCGAACCCCAGGCGGAGCCTAAGGCCGAGGAACCAGAGAAARTCTATRGGAAGCTTAGGGAAGAGGAGSYTGCGGACAAGRTTACCGCYGCTAAAAAGAAGTTYAGGTATCAAATCTCGATCTTAACCTTGCCTGAGTTYGACGACACCATTAGCAAGTTACTAGRAACCATGGTGTCGGTGTCTTTTCAGACCATGCTRCAGGCTAGCCCTAGGTTGCTCAAAGGGCTCAGACAACTGTTGACTCGGAGRCGAGTAGAAATAGGCGACAACCCCGAATTACCAGAAGGGGAGAGGAAGGAGGAAGCTCCGCAAGAAGTGGCTAACCTTCAGAGGAGTCACGGGGACTTGGAGGATCTCAAAAAGGTCTTTGCAGACATTCGTTTGAGTTTGCCCAACTAAGAGGGTGGCGAAGTCATGAGATCGTCACCCGGGACAAAGCTTAGCTTTCATGGGCTGCCCGTAGGGAAACTGAAAATTCAGATCGGAAGTCATCATACCGACGCATTAGTAGACGGGGGAGGAGAAATCACTCTCATAAGGAGAGATTTCGCAACGATCGCGGGATGTACGGTGAACAAGGAAATAACAGGGAGCATCCGGGAGCTGGTGGGGAAATCCCATTCACTGGGTACGTCACGAAGTGTGCTGTGAAGGCAGGGGTCAGGGAATCGATCTGGTCGTTCCAGTGGATGGCCGTAATGGAGGAAATAGACCGCGACATAATCCTCGGGAGACCGTGGTGCGCGAACGTAGAGATGATAGGCATGCATTTGCACGATGGCTCATACATGGTAGACATAGAGGACCCTGTGACCGGCCGGGGAGAGCTCCTCCGACTCCTTGGAACGAGAGGAGACCCCTCGAAGGGGAAATTGGCAACATGGTCGCCGTCGTTCGAGGATAGCACGAGGAAAATGGCTTTCGCACGGATGGAGTGTACGAGAGAAAGGGTAGAAATCATGATTGAGGAAGCATTCAACAAAAATGAGTGGATAAAGATGGGTCTGCCCCAGAAAAAAATGAGGCAGGAAGACGAAGTCCTAGGTGTTATGGTAGCGGAAAAGGAGTCAGAGGTCGAACTTGGTGATAGCCTGCCCAAACGGAAAGAAGAACGCATAGACGTGCCGGAAATCGCACTCGAGATCCCCGATCTATTGCAACTCATCAAGGCCCTCAGATACCACAAGGTAGGAGTAGATTCGGCAGCCTTGGTCAAATTCGAAAGAGAGGTGCAAAAGGGATATTCCCTGAATGGAAAACTAGTTAGTATTCAACCACGAGTCATAGAGGCGACGGGGGCAATTCCGACTGTTCATTTTTTAGGAGAAAAATCCCAGAAGGAAGTGTTAGAAAGTACAAGCCGGTAGGGAAGAAAGCAAAACCGGTCTCAATCCTGCTAGAAACGTCAAAGGAAGAGGCTATGGAGAAGGAGGAAGAGGTCCTTCGAGTGATCCGAGAAATAAGGGCGACGGAGGGACATCGGATACCAGATGAGGTAGCGGACACAATGAAGATAGGGATAGACGGGTTTTTAACGGAAGAACAAACCCGCGTGATCAAAAGGACCTGCCAGGAGTTTCACCTGGCATTTGCCTTTAGTGATCACCAGAAGAGACGACTGGATGCAAAGTTGATCCCTCCGGTCAGAATCCACATGGTAGAACATGAGTGCTGGAATGACAAGGGGCCCTCCTATGAATTTTGGATAGCAGGAGAAGTAACTGACCTCCTCCGAGCGAAGATGGACTCCTTCGTTGCGGAGCCTACGACATCGCCATACGCAAATCGGTGGTTCGTCTTTCGGAAGCCTAACAAGACACTAAGGTGGGTTCAGGATCTGCAGAAGTTGAATGCGGTAACCATCCGGGATGCTGGCTCGCTACCTCAGGCTGACTTATTAGCAGAATCGCACGCCGGTCGGAGCGTTTACTCCCTGATAGATCTGTACTCAGGGTACGACCAGCTTCCATTGGATGTTCGGGACAGGCCATACACCGCAATGCACACCCCCGTAGGCCAGCTACAGATGCAAGTGACACCTATGGGATTCACAAACGCGGTGGCCGAAGTGCAACGCAGGATGCTCGTCGTGGCCAGCGACATGTTCCTAGAAAAATGTGAACCTTACATCGATGACAATTCGATCAAAGGCGCGCAGGAAAAGGACGAGACGGAAGTCAGGGATCCGACGTTTTGTGTGGGACCAGCTGCAGGATGTCAATGACTTACTCCGCCAGTTCATAGTATACAACATTACGGCTAGTGGACCAAAGAGTATCCTAGCAGTACTAGAGGTAACTATACTAGGATTTCGTTGCGGTGCTTACAGCAGGAAGCCGGATCCGGCAAAGACCGACAAGATATCAAAGTGGCCGACACCACTGCGCATGGCGACGGAGGTAAGGGCATTCCTAGGCGTAGTCGGCTTTTGGAGGATCTTCATTAAGAACTTTGCCAAGATTGTTGAGCCTATCCGGGCTATGATCAGGGAAGAAGGAACCATGGATTGAACGAAGGAGCGAGAAAGAGTTGTTCAAAGGCTCAAGGACATATTGACATCTGAGACAGTCGCCCTGTCCGCGCCTTGTTTTAATGACGAAGTGGGACGACCCTTCATCCTAAAGACGGATAGAGGACCTTTGGCCGTAGGAGGTGTGTTGATTCAAAGGGATGAGGGAGGAAAAAAGAGGCCGATTAGGTTCGAAAGCAGAACCCTGAACTCCGCAGAACGGCGGTACTCGCAATTTAAGAAGGAAGTCCTAGCCATCCTGCATTGTCTTAAGACCTTCCAGGCCTACCTGTTCGGGAGGCGGTTCATCTTAAGGATCGATCCGATGAATGTCGTAGGGGCTCTAAAGAACTACAGGCCTATAGATCCGACGGTGAGGAGATGGGTAGGATTCATCTGGCAGTTCGATTACAAGATCGAATGGATTGCTGGAATCCGCAACAAGGCAGATGGGTTGAGTCGGGTTTGCATCACTCCCGAAGGGATGGAGGATGCAGAGCCCATAGACGCCCTTCTCGAATACGAAGGAGAGACTCTCGTGGTGGATAACGAAATGATGAGCGAGGGATGCACATTGGGAGAACTATTGATCCAGACTTTGGAGAAGGGAGCACCTGCGTAGTAGCAGAACTCAAAGAAGGACCAGTTACCACTCGGGGACGCAGATAAGAAAATTACTCATGGGGAGG